GCAAGCGTCTCCTGGCTGCTGAACCAGGCACCCTCCAAGCTCAACAAAAATCATCGACACTTTCCCCACCTGAGCAGTCCAGAGTGGGGAGACCGCGGCCATCCGCTGAGTCGGCTATCTTCCATGAGTGTATTCTAGGGAGGCTTAGGCCCCGAGTGGGGAAGGGGCTTGCCCAAGGTCTCATTCCATCCCGTCCTTTCATCAGTGCCACCCGATGCTAATCCTCTGTCACCTCCCCCTGGAAACTTTCCCGAACTCTCCTCCCAACTGAGTCAGGGCCTTCTTCTGCATCCCCAAAACTCCTCAGGAATGATATCAGCAGGCTTGCCACAGTCTACTGTAATCGTCTGTGTGTCCACCTGGTCCCACAAATTTTAGGCAGGAGCCACGGCTAATCCACTTTGGTGTCCCCGGGGCCCAGCTCAGGGTCTGGAGAGAGCTGGGCCTTGGGTGTGTTTGTTGAACCATCCTCCACTGAACTAAACCACTTGGTGCCTTGTGAGGGGCCACAGGCCTTGATCCTTCTCTGGCTTAGGAGGCAGGTGCCGTATTTCAGGTTCAGCGCTTCCGCGAAGCGGCCATGGAGTTGTGGAGGGCCCCTGGATGATAGAAAACTAAAAGGGCTATCAGCTTTCTGCCCTCATTTTCCAGAGGAGGAAGCTGAACCTCAAAGCAATGAAGTCCATGGGCCCACCAGGAGTGGGGATGAATCATATACTCAGACGGCCGGGGCCCTGCTCTGCCGCTCCCCTTCCGTAAATGTGAAAACCCAGGATTCCTCAACTCCAAAAGCTCAGCTTCCTTCAGTCCTGTGAGCTCACAGGCCTCAGGCCCTGCAGTGAGGGGAGGAGAGATCATTCAAGAGGCTGTTTATCATCTTGTTGTACACCCCCCCCGCCCCCCGAGCTCTTGCAGCAAAACATTCCCAAGAAACAGGGTGATTCATTCACAGCACCACTTGCCAGTTCCAGAGAAAAGGCAGACCATAAATACATTCTGCAACTTTTGAAGAGGAGACAAAGAAATCTCCAGACGAAGTTTCTCTTTAGTGGACACAGGCTGCGGGAACATATATATTTTACATATTTAAGTATTATAAACATTTATGTATTTCTATTATATGTTTTTCCTCTCCGAGAGCCAAGCTCTGGGGAAAAGAAGCTGCCATGGTTTAAGCCAAATTCCCCCAAAATACAAGGTAGTGCCTTCTAAAAACACCAAAGACTGCATTGCTTTTAGAACAACTTGATGGGGGACGCCTGGGTGGCTCAGTCGGTTAAGTGTGTGCCTTCGCTTCAGGTCATAATCCCAGAGTCCTGGGATCAAGCCCCACATTGGGCTCCTTGCTCAGTGGGGAGCCTGCCTCTCCCTCTGCTTGACCCTCCCCCTGCTTGTGCTCTCTCTCTCTCCCCCTCTGACAAATAAATAAAGTATTTTTTTTAACGTGAAGGTTTTTTTTATTATGTTATGTTAATCACCATACATTACATCATTAGTTTTAGATGAGGTGTTCCATGATTCATTGTTTGCGTATAACACCCAGTGCTCCATGCAGAACGTGCCCTCTTTAATACCCATCACCAGGCTAACCCATCCTCCCACCCCCCTCCCCTCTAGAACCCTCAGTTTGTTTTTCAGAGTCCATCATCTCTCATGGTTCGTCTCCCCCTCCAATTCCCCTGCTTCATTCTTCCCCTCCTGCTATCTTCTTCTTCTTTTTTTTTTCTTAACATATATTGCATTATTTGTTTCAGAGGTATAGATCTGTGATTCAACAGTCTTGCACAATTCACAGTGCTCACCATAGCACATACCCTCCCCAACGTCTATCTCCCAGTCACCCCATCCCTCCCACCCCAACCACTCCAGCAACCCTCAGTTTGTTTCCTGAGATTAAGAATTCCTCATATCAGTGAGGTCATATGATACATGTCTTTCTCTGATTGACCAAATAAATAAAATCTTAAAAACAACAACAACTTGACGGGCTCAACCCGACAACAACCACTCCTAATGTTGACTGATTGGATGTGAGTTAAAACCAAATTAGATGGGCTGTTTTTGTTGTTCTTGATGTTAATCCCTCTAGAACTCTTGATTGTCAACGAGAGGGTGAGAAACTCATGCATGTTCCTCTTTTTTTTTTTTTTTTAAGATTTTATTTATTTATTTGACAGACAGAGACACAGCAAGAGAGGGAATACAAGCAGGGGGAGTGGGAGAGGGAGAAGCAGGCTTCCCGCAGAGCAGGGAGCCCGATGCGGGGCTCGATCCCAGGACCTGGAATCATGACCTGAGCTGAAGGCAGACGCTTAACGACTGAGCCACCCAGGCGCCCCTCATGCATGTTCCTCTTAAGTAGAGGGAAGCTTGCTTAATGTGCTGGAGGCTTTGGACATCTTGCAACTAGAAAGACATGGAGGGAAGTAACAGGTGAGTGTGGTGTGTGGGGGGGGGGAGGGACAGTGCTTGGGGGTAGCATGGCTTAATTTCGGGGAGAGTGAATGGTGAACCTCCACAACTCACGGAAAACCTTTGGAACTACTCTAGCAGTACAAAGACAGATGGAAGATTCAGTCTCTCATTTTGAAGTCTCATTATCTATGCTCTAGGTTTGGGTCTCTTATAATATGAATGTTAGACTCAACTCTTTAAAAATTGTACTTTTAGCTCCCAACCCTGAGCTGGGTAGAAGTAGGAGTGAGCTTGACTTCTTTGCCCAAGTGAAGATGTGTGATACAGAAGGAAAGGCTCCAGAGATCTGGGTTCTAGTTCAATTCTGACTCCAAAGAGCATAGGTGGCATTGAACATGTCTCTGGTGCTATTTGAGACACAATTTCCCCATCTGTAAAATCTTAGAAAAGAAAATGGGTTGAGGGAGAAGAGAGAACCTTTGAGGCATGGGCTTTGGAGTCATACTGCCTGAGTTCTAATCTAATTTTTCTAGCTGTGTGTCCCGAGGTAAGTTGCTTAACCTTTCTGAGCCTTGTTTTTTTTATTTGTAAAGCACAGACAATAATATCTACCTCATGGGATTTGCTGACAAGTTAAGCAACGTAATGTTTACAAAGCACATAGCTTAGTGCCTGGCCCACAGGAAGGTTTTGTTTTGTTTTGTTTTTTTAAAGATTTTATTTATTTGACAGAGAGAGAGACAGTGAGAGAGGGAACACAAGCAGGGGGAGTGGGAGAGGGAGAAGCAGGCTTCCCGCGGAGCAGGGAGCCCGATGCGGGGCTCGATCCCAGGATCCTGGGACCATGACCTGAGCCAAAGGCAGACGCTTAACGACTGAGCCACCCAGGCGCCCTAGGAAGATGTTTTATTAAGGTGTAATTGATACATAATGAAATGCTCTGATCTTAAGCATTCAATTTTGGCAACTGCATATCAATCAAGATACAGAACATTTCCATCAACCCAGAAAATTTTTCTCGTGCGCCTTCCTAGTCAATCCTCCTGGGAACAACCACTGATCTGATTTCTATCACCACAGTTTAGTCTATTTTAGAATTCCATATGAATACAGCCAGTGTTTATTGTATTTGTGTGTTTGTGAGTATATTGGCTTCTTTCATTCTACATTATAGTTTTGAGAGTCATTCATATTATTGCATGTATAGTAGATCATTTATTTATGGTGTGTAGTATTTTGCTGTATAATATGCTACAGTTTATCCAGTCTACGGAAGATGAGCATCTGGGTTATTTCCAGTCTTTGCCTTTTAGGAATAATGCAGCTATGAATATTCTAGCTAGAATTTAGTGCAAGACTTTCATGGACAAATATTTTCTTTTCTCTTGGGTAAACACCTAGGAGTGGAGTGCTGGATCATAGAGTAGACGTATGTTGAACTTTTTAAGACACTCTCCGATGGTCTTCTAAAGTGGTTGTACTATTTGACATGTCCATCAGTGAGGTATGAGAGTTCCAGTCCCTCCGTGTCCCCCCCCAACATTCGGTGTGGTCAGTCTTTTCTGTTTTAGTCATTCTGGCATCACACTGTGGTCTTAATTTGCATTCCCCTGATGACTAATGAACTCCTTCTGTGTGCTTATTTAGAATTTCCTTAAAGGTAGCTCCTCCCCCCCCCTTCAGAGCCCGGTGGCTTTCCACCTCCATTATTTGAAAAACTGTTGAATAAATGTGCAAGGGAAACACTGATAACAAAACCTACTAGAAATATAAAGAGCTCTGTAAGTACAAAAGCAAGCATGAGCTCAGCCTCAGAACCCCTCCCTTAACTTTCATTTCCCAGGACTCAGCAGCTAAGGACATGCTTGTCTTCCGAAGAAGCTAAGATCACGGCTGACCTGAGATCAGAATGTTTGCCAGGGGGAGCGTCTGGGTGGCTCAGTCATTAAGCGTCTGCCTTCAGCTCAGGTCATGATCCCAGGGTCCTGGGATCGAGCCCCACATCGGGCTCCCTGCTCCGCGGAAAGCCTGCTTCTCCCTCTCCCACTCCCCCTGCTGTGTTCCCTCTCTCGCTGTGTCGCTCTCTGTCAAATAAATAAAATATTAAAAAAAAAAAAAAAAGAATGTTTGCCAGGGAAGGGGGAAAGGGGGAGTATGTTATTTATCTATTTATTTAAAGTAGGCTCCATGCGTGATGTGGGACTCAAACTCACAACCCTGAGATCAAGAGTCTGAGTCAGCCAGGCACTCCGAGGTCAGAATGTTTTAATGATAAATTTATCTGGTTGAATAATCGTTTTCACTGCTACCATTTATAAACTACCCACTATGCTCCAAGCACCTCATATACACAAAACATGTCTAATTTTTTTTTTAAGATTTTTATTTTTAGGGGCGCCTGGGTGGCTCAGTCGTTAAGCGTCTGCCTTCGGCTCAGGTCATGATTCCAGGGTCCTGGGATCGAGCCCCGCATCGGGCTCCCTGCTCAGCGGGAAGCCGGCTTCTCCCTCTCCCCCTCCCCCTGCTTGTGTTCCCTCTCTCGCTGTGTCTCTGCCAAATAAATAAAATCTTAAAAAAAAAAAAAATTTTTAAGTAATCTCTACATCCAGTGTGGAGCTCGAACTCACAACCCCGAGATCAAGAGTTGTATGCTCCACTGACTGAGCTAGCCAGGTTCCCCCAGTATGTCTAATTTTTTTTAAGGTTTTTTTGGGGTTTTTTTTGAGAGAGAGCATGCCCGCGCCGTGCGTGCATGAGTAGGGACAGGGGCAGAGGGAGATGCAGACTCCCCACTGAGCAGGCAGCCCGATGTGGGGCTCAATGCCAGGACCCTGAGATCATGACCTGAGTCGAAGACAGACGTTTAACCGACTGAGCCACCCAGGTGCCCGGCATGCCTAATTTTTACAATTGCCCTACAAGGTTATTGTATGAGCTCCATTTGGTGGACTCTGAAAATCAGAGATGTAAATTCCTTTGATAACACCACACAGCTACATCTCCACACGCATGCGCACAATGGGATAGCATTTAGCCCTAAAGAGGATGAATGCTACACTTTGCTACAACATGGAAGAACCTCAGAAACTCATACTAAGAGAAAGAAACCAGACATACAAAGGTCACAAACTGTGTGGTTCCATTTGTTTAATTTTTTTTTTTTTTTTAAGATTATTTGACAGAGACACGGGAGAGAGGGAACACAAGCAGGGGGAGTGGGAGAGGGAGAAGCAGGCTTCCCATGGAGCAGGGAGCCCGATGTGGGGCTCGATCCCAGGACCCTGGGATCATGACCTGAGCTGAAGGCAGACGCTTAACGACTGAGTCACCCAGGCGCCCCTGTGTGGTTCCGTTTGTATGAAATATCCAGAATGGGTACCTCACACCTACAGAGAGCCGACTGGTGGTTGCCAGGGGCTGGCGGAAAGGTGAATGGGGAGAAACTGTTAAACGGGTATGAGGTTTTCTTTTGGGGTGACAAAAATGATTTGGAACTAGATGGAGGTGGGCGTTGCACATCATAAACTTATTCTTTTTCATTAATTTTTTTTTAAGATTTTATTTATTCATTTATTTGAGAGAGAGCATGTGCGCACAAGCTTGAGCTGGGGAGGGGCAGAGGGAGATGGACTGGAGCCTGACACTGGGCTCAATCTCAGGACCCAGAGATCATGCATGACCTGAGCTGAAACCAAGAGTCAGATGCTTAACCGACTGAGCCACCCAGGTGCCATGGTAAATGTAATCAATGCCACTGAGTTGTACATTTTAAAATGGCTAATTTTATGTTATGTGAATTTTACCTCAGTAAGATTAAAACAGCAACAACTCTTCACCCTAGAGTCTCTTCCTCATTGATGAGCATAATTTTGCCATTAGTGATTTAGTCCTTTGGATAGTGAAGCCTCCAGCACCTGGGCCCAATCTTTTCTCCCCCAGAGAAACCCCCATGAGAATTCCAGGGCAGAAAGGGAGGAAACAGCATCATGGCTCAGAGGGCAGGCACTGGAGTCAGGCTGCCTGAGTACAATCCCAGGCACCTCCATACCCTCATCTGTAAAATGGGGATGATAATGTTACCAACCTCATGGGGTTGCTCTGAGGATAGGACAAATTCATTCATGTAAACTATCTGGGCAGGTGTCATGTTTATTCACTAAGTTGTATTGTCAGGGCAGGCCACCTTCCCCTACTATACTACACACCCAATAAATAAATATTTATTGAGTACCTACTATGCGCCCAGCACTCTTCTAGGCCCTGGGGATTCAACTAGGAGCAAGGAAAACAATAAAGTTCCTTTCTTCTTGGTGCTCACATTCCAATTGGGGTATAAGACAATAGACGAAGTGTAATACCTAGTATGTTAGCTGGTAATATGTAAGCTAAGGAGAGAAAAATAAGTGATGAGGGACAGGAAGTTTGGGGGAGATTTGAAACTGGTTGGCTGGAGAAGGCTTCCCTCTGTGATGACCCGAGGGAAGTGAGGTGTATCCATTTCCTACAGCCGTTCTAACAAACCTCGTGGCTTACACAACACAAACGTCATTCTTTACAGTTCTTGAGGTCAGGAGTCCAAAATGGGGCTCACAGGGCTGAAATCTAGGTGTTAGCAGAGCTGTGTTCCTTCTGGGGGCTCCAGGGGAGAATCTATCCTCTTGCCTTTTCTGGCTTCTAGAGGCCCCACCTTCCTTGGTTTGTGATCCCACATTATTCTACCTTCTTCTGTCATCACATAGCCTTCTCTTTGACTTTCCTCCCTCCCTCTTCTCCTTATAAGGCTGTTTGTGATGACATAGGGCCCACCTCAACCATCCAGAATAATCTTCCCATCTCAAGATCCTTAATCACATCTACAAAGTCACTTTGCCGTGAAAGGTAACAGGGTTACAGGTTCTGGGGATTAGGATATGGACATCTTTGGGCAGCCCATTATTGCCTACCATATGAGACATGGTACCTAGAAGAAGTGGGAATAGCAAGTTCAAAGGCCCTGAGGCAGGGCTCTTCTGGCATGCCTGAGGAAGCTGGAGACCAGTGAGGATGCAGTGGAGTGGGCAAGGGCAGCATGACCTCTCACAAGGGCAGAAAGGTGAAAGAGGTGGAGTGGTTCTTGCAGGCCCTTGTGGGTCCCAGTGGGGACTCTGACTTTTCCATGAGTGAAGTGGGAGAATGTGAGGGACATGATCCTACAGGTTTTACCAGGACCCCTTGGGCAGCTATGTGGACAAAGGACTACCCATGAAGAGGCTGCAGCAGCATCCATGTGAGAGGCTGGGGGCTGGGCTGAGGCAACAGAGGGAAGTGGATTTTGAAGGTCGAGTCAAGGAATCACTTAAGGGTCAGAAGTGGAAAAGCGCTGCAAAAGGGGAATCAGGGATGAGTCCAAGGTTTTTGGCGGGAGCAACTGAAAGAATCAAGATGCTCTTTAAGATGGGGACCACCACAAAAAGCTGACTTGGGACTGCTGATGAGAAATCAGGAATTTGCTGACATGTGTGTTGGGAACCCAGACAGAGAGAGGAGCAGGAAGTCGGATATGGGAGTCTAGAATTCAGGACGGGGGTCTGGAGGGATTTGTTTGGGACACTTCAGCAGGTTATGTAGGTGGAATTTAAAGCCAAGAGCCTGGATGACATAAATCTCTGAGGGATGTGTGCAGAGATGAGAGGACGGAGGACGGAGACCTGGGGCCCCTCTGGTGAGGAGGAGCCAGTGATGCGGAGGAAAAGCACGTGAAGGTGGGGTCCTGGCAGTCAAGAGAGCCAAAGGCTGCAAACTTTGCCCACAGTAAGCATGGCATGAGAGGTTGGTGGAGCAGAGGATGACCCTCTTGCTTCTGAGGGCTGTTCTCTGGCAAACAGCCTCCAAGGGAGACAATTTAAGGGAGTTGGACCTACTGAGGCAGCCTTGTTCCTGGGAGCCAGAGGTTGTCTCCCCTGCAGGAGGCTGGAGTACGTCCGCTCCAGAGGTTGCCCCCCCGCCACTCTCCCAGCATGATTTCCCTCTGGTCTCACCTCCAGCCAGGCCTTAAGACTCCGTTCAGTCACCTCCCCTCTGCCAGGTGGCTGTGCTGACCACCTAGATGGAGCTGGGTATCCCTCTGCTCAGCTCCCACAGGATCTGCTGCTCCCCTGTTGGACAACTCCCCACCCCAAGTCTCCTTCCATGTCTGAGTCTCCCACTGGGCTAGGCAAGCTTCCTCCTTTCTGCATCCTGGGCGCCTAGCAGGTGCGAGGCATCTAATGGGCTCTCAGTAAACATCTGGCCACGCCTGGTCCTGCTCCACCGAAGCTCCAGCCCCTAGACGTCCCAGACCTTAGTGGGGCCCCTTACACACTGCGCCTACAGACACTCCCTGAGTATTTGTTAAATACCAAGGAAAGGGCCATGGACTTGGACCCAAGCCCGACTTCTGGCACTTTCAAGTACTTTGGACTTCAGTCTCCCATCTCTAAAATGGAAGTGATACACCTCCTCACTGGTTGTGATGACATTTGGGAAAGTGTCTGGCAAACTGGAAAGCAGCCCGGCAAATCAGAGTTACCAGAGCTCGAGGCTTTTCCTTGGCAGCTGATGCAGGGCATGTGACTGGACCTGCGTGACCCACCCCACGCCACGTGAGGCCTTCTAGTTGGTTTTTGTCAAGCTGCTTGGAGGACAAGCAGCATCTTCCTCTGGCAATGGGAACTGGGGAATGAGTGGGACGCAGCCCCTGTGGAAACTCTCACACACGCATGGACGTTCACGAGTGTCTCCAATGACTAAGGGCCACATGAAGCAGTTGGCTGGACCCTTCCTGAAACCTGTCCCGGAATGGCTCAGCCTGCAGCGCTGCTCTGACCATCCTCAGCCCTACTCTCCCACTTCTCTGGGGCTGAGCCCCTTCCCCACACCCAAGGCAGGGCCCCAGACTCCCCTTCTCCCTCAGCAGCAGGTAGTGCACAGAAGGTTCAGCATGTGAGGCAGTTTATTGACGTTTACTTGCCCAGATGAACTTTTCCTCGCTGTTCTGGGGCTAAAGGAACTGGTGGGGAGAGGGGAGGTGTACGGATGGAAGCCAAAAGGCTGAATGTGTCATGGTGGGCTGAAAAGTGGTTGGTCTGAGACGGACAAGCCCCCCATTTCAGAGGCTAAGAAAGTCTGGGCCCAAGAACATGCAGTCATACAGCCAAATCCCTTCCATCTGCCAGAGGAGAACCAGGCATGACCCTGGCCGGCTCTCCCACAGACTCTCCCACCAGCATCGGGCCTGGCCGTTGTGCCTGAGGGACCACCTACAGCACAGTGGCCATGGCGTCTTGACCTAAACACACAGGGCAGGCCTGGCCTGGCTCCATCCGTACAGCAGGGACAAAGGTGGCTGATGAGCAGGTCTGCGGTGCTCGCGGAACGGGAGGGGCGGTGCTCGTCAGCCTGAGATCACGACTCTAAAATGTAGTGTGAATCCACAAGTGGGGGCCTGAAGGCTGGACACAATGATGAAGTATGGAAATGTCACTCTGAGCTGACCCAACTTCTGAACAAACAGACTTCTTACCCAGCCTCTGCATACAGGGTGTTTTAGTCCCTTTGGCTCTGCACGGTCACAGGAGCAGAAGGAAGAGGAAGTGGTGGGCTGCCCAGCTGGGGCCTGGGGACTGTCATGATTGTCCAGATCTCTGTGGTCAGAGAGCGGCCCAGCCACTTCAGCCCTGACCCTGGGACGACTGAGGGAACAGGACGTTGAGTCCCAGGAGGGCTGCCCCGGAAGGCTGCTGTCCCGGCCGCCTAGCTCTGCAGGCCTCTTCTACCGCTTCTTCTTGGACTCCTTCTTGGGCCTCTTGCTGGCGGAAAGAGCAACAGCCTTGGGTTTCCTCGTCACCTCCGCGCTTCTGGGCTCAGAGGGCTCTGCCTCCTGCATGGCAATAGAAAGGAGAGTCCTGTTTAGACGAGTCCAGCCTGACACCAGCAAAAACGAGATCGTTATCTGAAGGGGGCTTTGCAAACTAAAGCACAGGGAACCACTACTGCTGGGACCCGGGAGCCTCAGGTGGGCGGGGCTGCCGGGGGGGTGGGGGAAGGCCAGTTCTCAGTGAAGAAAGAAAGAGGCCCCAAGGGACCCAAGGGAGGCGGCAACCTTTGGCGGGGGTGGGGGGGGTGGGGGGGGAGTGGATGGATGGATGAATGGATGGATGGATGGATGGATTTAGGCCCCTCCACATGCCAGCCAAGTGACCGGTGGGCAACTCACTTCCCCCTCCTGCGTCTTGGTTTACCCACCTGTGAAATGGAAACAGTGATGCGCGCTGGGGCAAGTGTGGCATGGAAAGTGCCCAGCGGCTGTGGCCGCACCGTGGCGGGCTGCTCGCCCTGCGCAGGTACCGGGCAGAGCGCAGGCAAGGAGCCGGCTGTGGGGCAGACCCACCATGGCTTGCTCCCCCTCCGGCCCTGCTGTCCTCCTTCTCCCATTCAACCCACAGCATGCCAGGGCTGGGAGTGGTGGAGAGCGCTGGCCCGCAGCTGGGCAACCACTGCCCTGTGTTCTGTGGGGCCCGGCGGAGGCGCCCCGTGGGGGAGGGCAGAGGGCAGCCTTGAGGCAGAACTCCAGACTCTCCCTACAAGCTGGGCAGCCCTGGTTTTTCTATGTGTCCTATTCCCTGTAAGATTTGGTTTATGCAAAGGCTCTGCTGTTTTAAAAACAGGTTTAAAACCACAGACCCAGGCTCACATCAGAGAAGAATCTGGAGGGGACTCAGTCTGGTCAAGTGTTCCCTGACCCCAGGGAGTAAGTCCCACCATGCCTTGGTCAGGCAGGATGTTAGTGAGGCATGTCCGGCCTGGAGAACACTGACTACGGTCCCCGGGCCTCCTCCAGCCCTCAGGTGGACTTCACTTGGCCTGAAGTGTTTATTTTTAAAAATCTGAGCTAACTGGTAGATTTCCCATTCAATCGAGACTCCCAGCTTTTCTTGAAAACGTGAAACGCCTGGCAACAGCAGCCCTTTTATTCAGGTGCCCACACTCCCACGGCCTCAGCACTAGGGTCAGGAAATGTGTCTCGGTACCTGTGTTCTTTTATTAAACGTGGGAAAATAAAAAGCAGACGAAGAATACTAAGAAGGAGCATACTTCCGGAAGAGAAAAATACTTCCTCGGTTGAACTGGCCAACTCCCAGCTTCCCGCTTGCTTTGCTCTCTCTCCTTCCCTGGCCCTGCACCTCAAGCCCTCGGGCTGACAGGAGGTGTGACCGTGGCTGGGGAGGGGCAGTCCACACCTATGTGGGGCCTACTCCAGACGTCTGTCAGCTCCCTCTTATCAGCCATCCTTCCCTCCACCGCCCCCCCCTCCGCCAGCCCGCCTGCTGAGACCTCAGGAAAGGCCCAGCCCAGTCCCAGGTACCCACGTGTGAGCTTCCCAAGATAACAAGGGGGCTGGCCCCTCCCCTAGGCCGGTCTCCATGGCAGCACTGGACTCCCCCAGCCTGTCAACTTGGGCCGACACTTTAATGTAACTTAGCCAAAAAAAAAAAAAAAAAGAAAAAGAAAGTTAGCCCATTAGAAAGACAAACAAACAAAACAGAACCTCAGAGGAGCCAGCGTGTCAAGCGCACAGGCTGAGCCCCGCCCCCACCCCGGGGCACAGCGGGCGGCGGCGGGGGGGGGGGGGGGGGGGGGGGGCAGGGAACGGCTACTGTTTAAGGAAAACCCCACAGGGCACAGTCTCTGGAGACCTTGGGAGCTGGAAACTGTCCCCAGTCGGTGACTATGAGGCCGGTGCAAACCGCTCGGTCCCTGAGTGCCCGAGACAAACAGGCACTGACGAGATGAATGGTTTCCGCACAGGGAACACGCCAAGCCTGCCAGGATCTCCGGAGCTCCCGACCCTCTAAACTCAAAGCTGGGTGCCCCCTCTGGTTTCAGTGGGGCCCAGGTCAGAATCCACAGGGACGGTGACACCCGCCGGCCAGCCCCAGAGCCTCCCTCATCCCACAGACCCCCTCTCTTAGGGGCCTCATCCACTCTGGTGCCTCCCCGACCTCTCTCCTGAGCAGACGTTTTCCTGACCCAGCTATCTGTGTGATGGTTGGGACTGGCGCCCCCCCGGGGGACGTCCAACTGCACTGTCCCAGACCCAGCACAGCCCCTTCTCCAGCAGGCCAGGTCCTCCTCCCCGCCTGAAGGCAGAGCCACCACAGCCCCAGTGACCCCACCCGTCTCTCCTCCTAACGGGCCAATCAGTCACCCGTCCTGGGGATTCAACCCCCTCTAACTCTTCACTTGGTCACTCTCTCCAGCACCGAAGTCCCTACACCAGTTCCTCCACTGCTAACTGACCTCCCTGCACTACGCCACGCCTCGTGCAGACCCCCCACCTTAAACCTTTCCATCTCCCACAGCCTCATGCCCCACATTCAGGAAGGCATCGAAGGAGGCCACATCTCCAGCTTCTTCTGGGCTCTTCTCCAGACCCCACGCTGGTCAGCTGCCAGGGCTTCTGCTGGTCACCCCTAACAAGAGGAGCACCCTTCCTGGCCGTGCGGCAAACCCCTCCCTGTGGTCTGGCCCAGCTAAGAATGCACTCCTACTCACTGTCTAGCCTTCCTCTTCTGCTCCTCTACCTCCAGCAAGGCACATCCCTTCCTCCACCCCTACCCCCTGGTACTGAGGAACCACATGGTGCCACATCACACGTTACCACAGGTACACGTTCTCCTGTTGGTTTCCCCTACTAGCTTGTGAACTCCTTGAGACAGCTTCAATTGTGAATGAATGAATGAATGAACGAATATGGAAGATCAGGCAAGATCTCCCATAACCATGGAAACTTCACTCTTATCATCATGAAAATAGAACACTTAAGGGCGCCTGGCTGGCACAGTTGGTGGATCATGTATTCTGATCTTGGGGTCATGAGTTCGAGCCCCATGGTGGGTGTACAGATGACTTAAATAAATATTTACAGTATATACATAACACTTAGGACCAGGTCTCCCCTTTCCCATGGGCACAGAGGACACAAGCAGGTGTCAAACCCAATACACATTCCCTAAAGTCAGGCTAGGCATAACCACCAGTAAGGAGCCACGACGGCTGCACTTACAGTGTGCCGGGCCCTGGGCTATGCGGTGTGGACACATCTTATTTTAGCCTCGCAGAGTGCCACGCTGAGTCCCACCGGAAAGACAAAAGAAGAAACACTCGGAGAGATTATGTGACTTGCCTAAGGTGTCCACAGTCGGTGAGCAGCCGCGCCAGGACGGGAACGGCGGCTCTTACAGTCTGTCCCAGGTGTCCTGGGGACCTCAGGGCTGCAGACCGAGAACCCGAGTTCACTGCGAAACCCACCCTCTAGCAGCACCTGGAACCACAGGCTGCACGGGTGACGGGGGAACGACAAGAAGGGTCCGTTCCAGATTCTGCCGATGGGTCATTCGGACCGCTTGTTTGTAACTGCAGTTCCGGCGGGAGTCAGGGCAGCGGGCTGGTGCTCCCCGTGCCGGGCTTTGTTTTTCACAGCTGAAGGCAGCTCTCCGTGGGTGCGTGTTCATATTACAGTCATCGAGTCCTCTGAGCGTGCTGTCTCCTCCTCACTGCAGACCTCCTCCTCCCTTCCCCACCTCAGTTTCTGGCATCGTCACTCGCTCAGTTACCCAAGCTCGAAACCTCCAAGTCATTTTTGAGTTCTCGCCATTCCCTCGTGCCCCCACATCCCATGTGCCCCAGGTCCTGCGCATTCTCCTCTCCAAGGGGCTCTCGACTCCGCCCGGCCCCTCTGGACACCCACTGCTGCACCAGGCCAGACGCCATGGCCCCCTGCCTGCCCCCTCGCTGGGTCAGCCTCCCCCACGTTCTCCTCGCCGCCCGCCCCACTGCTTTCGGTCTATTCTAGAACAATAGTCCGGACCATGTCTGTCTGCTGCTTTAAATGTGTTTCTGGTCCCCCCTTTGTAGGAGACAAATTTCTAAGAGCTTCCCTGTGGCCTCTAGGGCCACTCCACTCCGGCGCTGGCCCTGCCTCCCGGCTTGCCCCCCACCCCGCCCCATGCAGCCCACTGCCCTGCCAGGCTACTGGTCCCCCAGTACTACCCACACGCTCTGTTCCCTTTCCTGTTCTGCCGAGGTTCCCAGCCCTCCCACCTATCTGCGTGTGCCCAGGGGATGCAGTTCTGTGCCAGATGCCACGGGGTAATGAAGAGAAGACACGCTTAGCGATGTGCACCAAACATCCACTCACCGAGCCTGCATCACCCTAACGAGCCAGCCACTGTGAGCCCAATTTAGAAGCAAGGAAACTGAGTCTCAGTGACGGGTCCAATGGGGCACAGCCGAGCTTCCAAGCTACAGGGAAGCAAAAGCAGCTCTCATGCACATGATTCAGATGCTGGGGTCCTAGCCACGAAGAGCTATAGCTCCAAATTCTTAGCCAGCAAGAACGACTCCGAACGAATGGCTGACTTTTAATTTCTCCTCAAATGCGCGCTGCGGGGACAAGCTAGGCAGACTCCAAGCACAACAGCCCCACCTTCGAATCTGGGAACTCCGAGCCTCCTCTGAAGCAAGTTTTAAGTTTCCTCGGCAATCACGCCGTCGGGAGTAAAAGAAAACCTCCCCCGCCAGGTGGCTGCTGGCTCTGCGGAGGCACCAGTCCTCGGTGGACACAGGCCTCATCAATAATGAAGCAGTTCCACAGCTGCTTACGAGGCCAGAAAATTGCTGCTATTCATCAGATTCAAATAATCGAATCTGTGCCACAATGCAGCGAGTCCCTTCACGCAGGGAAAGCACTCAGAATTTTATGATTTCCACTATACAGTTCAGTGTGGATTCAGTCCGATAAATCAGAATAAAGTATCATTCCACACAGACCGAAAACCATTCTTTCCTCTCAAGCGGTCCAGGGAAAGAAAACCACTG